CCCTATAACGCTTAGATACGTTCCACGTTAATCGAATTTTACGTTGTAGGAATGATTAAATACATGAGCCAATCGCAGCCCGATAGGTGGCAAGTTTACGGACTACGGCTGTTTGAAAGGTTTTCTTCCATAAAATTAATCGATTCTAGACTAATTTCACTCAACATTTCCAAAACACGTATAATTTTTTGGGAATAATCTGTATAAACTACGCTATAAACAAAAAATTGTAGGATTACTTACCAAGTGTGCACTGTTCAACCACGCCGTTGCTTAAGCTTGTTTTCGTCGCGGAGCAGCGCACCAAACAGCAGGCGCGTTTTCTGATAAGTTATTTTTCTGCGAAAAATTCGTTGAACTTTGGAGACATCATTAATATAAATAATTTTTATGGCCGTTGAATAAGAAATGTTTTTTTCACAAGAAATGTATAAAATTACAGTACTGTATTAGACTTACAGTACGTAATTTAGGCCTATATACTGTACTGACGATAGTAAACTCAACTTACCTGCCTAAACTCTCCGTAGTGTGTAAGTAGTTCGGCTGCTCGTCCACTATTGGTCCAGAATCGACCAATCCTGTCACAACACAAGTCGGCGATGACGTTTTACCGCATTTTACGAGTCTCTTTTAGCATCTTTATACAAATATAGTCACAATTTTTTTGGCGTGATATACGAATCCGCATTATATGAACCCGCGTTATAGGGGGTCTACTGTATATATATATTTGATAAATGTCTTTAATCTATTTGTTAATATATTCTAGATGAATGGTAGTTTAGGCATCATAATTATAATTTAAAATTTATGGCAATTTTTAAAGATTTTTTTTTTAGTTTTCTAATTATATTATGGTTAGCATTTTTCATTTAAATTATATTTGTAAAATTCTGTCAGATGGAAATTATTTTTAAAAAGTAAACTTGAAGACAAAGTCTGTTTAAAAAAGGAACCGCCATTTATTCAATTTTAAACAAACTTTGTCTTCAAATTTATTTTTATAAATTATATTTATTATAGTAAAATTTTCAATATGAAAATTTAGGAATAAACAGAAAAATTTTACTTTATTATTTTTTTAGTATTACATTATTTTTTAAACATAATTTTTAATTGCAACATTCTTCTGTTAACATTCCAAAAACTTAATTTCATTTTTATTACAATGTATTAAAAGAAATTATTTGTTTGAGTATCTGTCTAATCATGCATGGCCTTAATTGTATTATTGTCATGGAACTTCTGTTTTATTAAAAATTCCTTCAGAGATCCAAACATGAAATTTCACTGATGCCATGTTGGAGTTGTGTGTTTGAGATGATGAGTAATGTCAGATAAATTGTTGGTACAGTTATAAATTGTACCAACAGTTAATCTAACCATCAATAATAGTTAGTCTAAACATATTACAAGTGCTAATGTGTGTTTAAAATTGCCTCATTTATTTTATAGATAGAAGTAGCTACAGGAAAATTTCCTTATCCTAAATGGAACAGTGTATTTGAACAATTAACACAAGTTGTCCAAGGTGATCCACCACAGTTAAGTCTTCAAGACAATGGAAATTCATTCACTTTAGAATTTGTAAATTTTGTTAATACATGGTATGTATATTTTAATTTAAGGTTAATCTTTTCAATATAACTTGATAAACCTATAACTTTGAAAAAATAAAAATGACTGTTTAAGACTGCAATTAAATATAAATACAAAAAAACTAAGTCAGAAATACATGGTACTCTATAAAATTCTCATCTTAGGCAATTTGGAACAACAAACTGGTTATTGCTTCAAAATGTAAATGTACTTATTTACCAATTTTCAATCTAGACATGGTATTTACTGCATTCATTGAATGTCCTCAAAATAAAAGAAACAGGATGTAGAAAATATATATACATTTATGTATGTATATATATGTTCTCAAATGAGAAAAGAAAGTATACATATTCAAAGTGAAATTTCTTTGTTTTGTCCCACCGAGAATAGATTTTTAGTTGCCTTCTTGGATGTTTACTTGCTTGAATTTGACAAACTCAAGCTCCCTCTGTGTTTGTCTTAGTCATAATTAACATTGAAGTATTCAACATTTTTGGTAATATTAGTTTTTTTAAAATATCAATGTGTTAAGAAAGCAGAACAGCCTTTTTCTCACTGCTTTAAAATTGATGTGGACAGGCCTGAAATGCAAATACAGAGCATAAAGCACAAATGCAGATGGAAATAAAAACATAATATTTAATGAAGTTTGTCAAAATCAAATAGAGCAAGTTTCTTTTTATGAACTGAAAATTTTTTTATTGAAGTTTTTTTTTATTTGTGGTTTTAGGCCCCTTACCGCTCAGAGAGCACAAAGAGGCCAAGAAGATTATGTATTTAAGAGGGTTTGCGTGGTTGGTGTCCCTAAGTGGGCTAATAGACATCCCAAGTAGGGCTTATGATGACTAGTCCCTTGTGAGGGCTCATAATTTTGTGTGTGTATGTTGTGTTTTAGATTTTATTCTGCATGTTATATCTTATGTAATGTTTATTTAACTTACCAAATTTCCATTGATCAAGAGGAAGGGAAAGGTAGAAAGGATAGTTACAGTATTCATTTCTAACCAGCCTGACCTAACCGGTATTGAAGTTTAACCAATAGGAGTCATTCTAGTCATGAGTATCTTGATTCAAAAAATGGTGAAGACTTTTTCTCTGGCAAATGCAGAAATCAAAAGTTGTTTAAATCTAAATTCATTGTAAGATTTATTTCACATATTAGAGGTTATTATTAAAGTTTATTAGTTTTTAACATTTCACTTTGTTGTTTGATATTAGCTCTTGCTGATCATATTAACTGTAGTTTATATATCAATGTATCATTAGACTTTAATCATGTATGTTATATTTTTGAAACAATTTATGAATTCATTAATGTCAATTATGGTATTTTTTCATTGTACTATTCCATAAAATCTATCATATAAGCAAAATAAATATTGATAGCTGATTTCATTACTTATGTTTTTGTCAAGCCATTCAATTCAATGCTTATTTAAGTTTTCATCTTTGACAGTTCTAACTAATGAGAATTAATAACAGAGGTATAATGCATAAAGCTTTTTGTTCATGTCCCACAGATTCTTTTGGAGAAAAAAGTTTTGACAGTAATGCCAGAATAAATGCAATTTTCTACTTCTACAACTTTGTCTTGCTCCATCAAGGCTAAAAAATATATCAATTTTTTCTGTTATATATCTTAAATTCATTGAAATAACAAGCTTGGGAATTTTTAAAATTTTTGTATTTTGAAAATAAATTCTAATATATCAAAGTAACATTTAATATAATGAATAAGTAAATGTGTTGTAAATTGATATTTTTAATTCTAATATTAGTTTAAATTAAATAAAATACTAATTAATATTTAATTTGGTTAATTTATTGATATTCTCATGTATATAATAAATATGAAATTTTTATAAATAGCTTGATCAAAGAAGAACAGAATAGGCCTAAGTACAAAAAATTATTGGTAAGATAAATGCTTATTTTATTTATTATTTAATATCTTATACAGAAGATATTTATAATTAATGCTTGAACTAAATGTTAAAAAATCCTCAAACATTGAATATTTTTATCTAGAATTAAAATATTCAGTTTTTTGTTTAGAATAAGGCAATGTCTTAAATTTTAAGGACATTATGCTATTATTTATTTATATGTATATTTTAGATTACAATTATCCTAGCCTGAATCTGTTTTTTAAATAGAGCATTATATGATATTTATAGAATTATATCATTTTATATTAATTAAAAAGAAAATTGGCATCTTTTTAAATGTTTCATACTTGTCATTATATTACAGTGGGTGATCGGTTAACGAACATAATCTGTTCCAAGAGTTTGTTCCCTATTTGAATTGTTCGTTAACTTATTATCGATTTACCGTAGGTTTTAATGGGAATTTAATTAATTTGTTCTGGAGACCCCCAAAAATAAAAAAATATGTACTTTCTTACTATGTTTATTTATATGTAATAATAAAAATACCTACATACACAGTCTTGCGTTTTTATTAGTCATGTTTTTTCCATTTGAAAGGGTTAAGCAATCGACATTAGACAGATTATTTTTCTCTCTTCTTCAGGATTTTTCATAAGTAATTAACTGCATTGCAATTGTAGAAATCCCCAAGCCTCAACCTGGTTTGGATGCCATTCTAAGACTGTTGTTCTGACATCCTCCCACTTCTTCAAAGGATCTTTAATAACAGATATCAGCATTAATCCTGTTTTTCAGAAGAAAACATATCTCGCCGAGTTTCTTGGTGTTCTGTCATCAGATCCGTTTCAGGTTCCATTATGAGCTCTTCAATGCTCTTTATTTCTCAGATGTGATTTTTGTTACTCCTTTAGTTGCTTGAGTCTTCTTGATTATACAGTATCTTTCTTCAATAAGATTGAACTGCGGCCTACTGTAGACTTGTTTACGCCATACTGCCCAGCAACATTAGGCATCTTCTGATTACTCTCTACCTTTGTGATTATACTCTCACCTTTCGAAAAGAAAAACAGACGCAAAACTTAATGAGTGCCTACCCGACAATTTCGCAAATACATAGAAAAATTGTTTTTGTCAGAAAAATAAAAGGCTGGAATTACAAGGAGAGTTTCAAAGTTTACAGGAATACTATCCGATCAGTATATACCGGCTTGAGTGTCGATGTCGACATCTCCCACACTCTGAAAAGTTTCGAATTGTTGCCCGAAGACAAGGGAAGACCAATCTGTATTCATTATTTTACATTGCTTCTTCTTGTGTTTGTTCTGTGGGGTGTTCATTATCTGATCACATGTTCGTTGTCCGAATATAAAAATCTTTTGCGAAAGTGTTCGTAAACCGATCACCCACTGTAATTTTAAAATTTATTATTTAAAATAATGATTACCATAATGAATGGCACTGTCTGGGGGGATTATCTAAATTGGCAGCAGGGAACACTGAAAATGGATCAGGGCATTTTTCACTTATTTCAGACTGATCTTTCTTTGATGATTTGTAAGTTTTATTGACTAAATAATTAAAACTTTCATTTGGATATGATTAAGTATGCAATTAATTGTTGCTGTTTTGAATTTAATTCTTTTTCATGGTGAAGTGCAAACCAACATTCTGAAAGATTTTTATAGGTTAATTAATTAGTGAGTTCTGGGAATGAGTTTATGGTACCAAAAAGAAATAGGCAGGACAAGTTTGGAAATAACAGATTTAAAATATCAACATATAAAGAATGAACATAAATCTTAAATGTGTTTTTATACAATGCATGCAAGAACATTTTATTGGAAACATTAAATTTTACAATTAAGCAATTCAGCTTTCTTTTCATTTTTATTTCAATCATATATCCTGGACTGATTGTCTGAAAAATTTCTTGATTTAATATGGGCAAGTCAAAAAACCTTGAATCCCCAGAGTGACAGGCTATTGTTTTAACTGCCCTGTCTATTTGGTTGCTTTTCACAATATTAATATAACAATTATCACAGTAATACAAAAAGAGTTTTTCCTGTTTTATCTTTTTGTCTATTGTAATCTTTGTTTGTATCATTCTTAGCTTCTTACAGAAGTAAAAACAATACATTTGTTTTATAATTATCATATATTCTCATTCTGTATTTTATTTTTTGTTATTTTTTCCTTATATAATATAATATATATCAATAGAATTTTCTTTCATAATGACATATTTATTTGTGTAGTGGTGTAGAGCTTCTGCTAAAATTAATAAAGACATATACTCTATAAATATTGTTTTAATCTTTTGAATTCATTTATTCTTTGAGATTTATTAAAGTATACAGTAGAGCCTTGATTATCTGACCTCCGATTAACCGACCGTCCTAGTCGGCAAATTTCAAATGTCCGCTAGTGATTTGGCTATGTCTTGGCTACTTTAATATTATTTTTACGTGTTTTAGCTGGCAACACTCATTCAACCATGAAAGGGAGCCAGTATTTAAAAGAGGCTTAATTTTCTAATTTTTAACAATACAATAGTGACGATTATTATTTTAAAAATTTTTTGTTAGGCTTAACATCGATGAAAATTCAACGCGAAGTAGACTAATAGCGATATACTAATTACATGGGATATAACAATATACTACACTAATAATGGATTTTTTCATACTTTTCGGTTATCCGACCAACCCCAGTCCCCAATTGAGTCGGATATTTGAGGCTCTACTGTATTTATTATACATTTGATCACATTATCAGTTACATTAGAAATTGAATTTTGAAAGAAATAGAAAAAATTTTAATAAATTTGTTTAATGAAGATTTCTGAATAGAAATTATCTTATATAAGAATTAATGGATATTTCTTATCCATTTAAATTTTCTAGTATGTTCTCTGAATGTTTAAATCTGTTTTCTTTAAAACAGATACATGATATATTGTCTGATTGAATGGACATTTTTTCTATGAATAACTTCTTTGTTAATACAGTAGAGCATCATTTATCTGAAAGCCGGTTATCTGAAACATCGGTTAACCGAAAGCATTTCAGTCTGCAAATTTAAATTTTCACTAGTGCTATGGCACTCCAATCTTTGGCTATGTCTTGGGCTACTCCAATATTTTTTTTGTTGGTGTGTGTGTGTGTTTTAGCTGGCAGCACTGGCACTTTTGTGTGGTGTTTTTCTGAGGACTATGTGTTGTGCTGAATCGAACATTTTTGATACTAGATCAACTTCTAAAGTGTAATTTTTTTTGTTTTTAAATTTTTCAATACAGTGGAATCTTGGTATACGATCTTAATCCGTTCCTGGTGTTTGGATTTATACCGAATAGGACGTATACCAAACTAACCTTTTCCATAAGAAGTAATGTAAAAATGATTAATTTGTTCTCATGTAAAAAAAAATGGCTGGCTTTAAACACCTCGTTTTCCTCGCTAGTTTCTGCTTGATTTTTCATGAGATCAGCATGTATCCTTTTAACTTTCTCGCAAATAATTTCTTCCGATACACTGTCGCCGGCACACTGTTTTTCAGTTATCCAAACAAAAGCAATTTCTCGACATGATCTAATGTCATCGATCTCTATTTAGAAATTGATTTAACCCTTTCGCAATGTTAGCAGATTTAATAATGTCTTTATTTTTCACGATTGTTGCTATTGTCGTTCTCGGAATACGGAATGCAACAGTTAAATCTCGAACACGCATGCCACCTTCATATTTCTCAACAATCTCTTTTTTCAGTTCCATTGCGATTCTAGTCATTTTTTTATTTTTCTGTTGCCCTTTTGCAATTCAAGATTAATAAAAATAATAAATTGTTACTTACAAATTAAAATCAGAATAAATTTAAGAAAGTTATTAACCGTAGCACCGCGAATGTCTAGTCTAGTGTAGTACACCGATAGTGCTACTTGTTCATAGATGACGCGTATAATTGAATTAAGTCGTATACCGAGCAAAATTTGTTTCGTCCAAACAGGACGTATTCCAAATTGGACGTATTCTAAAGCAGACGTATACCGAGGTTCCACTGTATATTTATTTTGTTTGTAAAAAATAAAGAAATAATTTTTAACTATACAATAGCCACGATTATTATTTTAAAAAGTTTACGTTAGGCTTAACATCAACAAAAATTCAATGCGAAGCGACACACAATGGAGAAAAATTTTAACATGGGATAGATTAATATATTTTTTCGTACTGTACATAATTGGTTATCTGAAAAATAAGTTATCCGAACAACCTCAGTCCCCAATTGATTCATATAAATGACACTCTACTGTAATTTAAAACAATTGTACATATATTAAAATTTTTAAGTTTTAAATTTCTCTAAAATGTAATATTTATTATTATCTGTGTTTTTTAAGAAAATATGNATAAGAAAAAATAATTTAAGATGAAAATTTAGTAATAAGTATAAAAGTATTAAAATATGAAACTACATAAGCAGAAGAAAGATGCTGTTCTATTGTTTTAATTATTTTAATGAGACTATGCTATTATAGATCTAATGTCATGCTATTGTTAGAATATAAAGGACAATATCATCCTGATTTTCTTCATTTCAGTTTGATATTTTTTGTAATTTTACAGTGACTTTCTGAGTTTATCAGTACAGTAAAACATCAATTTTATAGACAAAATTTCTGATCTGAATGTCATATGTGAAAATTAACACTGTGTTAATTTTAAAATGCCTTTTATATATAATTAAATTAACAGGTCATATCCACATATAAATGCATATTTACATATAAATGGAGAATTTTCATATTTCTTTCAAAAAATTGATTCTAGATTTTCCAATCGTTTTCCATTCTTAAGCTTGTTGTTTATTAATATTTAAAGATTCCAAATTTATAAATCACCCATCTAGGAAAAAACTTTCTTCCAAGATGGTTATCATAGTAGTTTCTTATTAATCCAGCAGTTGTTGATCTGGCATCCTCTGAAAGTAGTCAATAATTCAAAATTGTCCGATGATAATCTGGCATGTTAATATTTTGCAAATTAGCATACCACATGTTTGAACATGTGGTATGCTAAAGATCTAGACAATAACATATTCATTAGTACTTTGCAAGTTTTTCAATGAATTTTAATACAGTGTAGTAATGTGCTGTATGTTGATTATGGAGTGTGCCTAACAAATCTGAAGTATACAGCAGGCATTGGTACAAAATGTACAGCAATGTCTGCAATATTCAGATTACATATAACTTATTAAATTTTGTGAAAGTATAAAAATTACCAGCAATTTGACACCACTCTGCTGTCAGATTGCTGGTAATTTACAAAGTATTGTCATCTTCTGAGCTTTTTTGTTGATCTTGATCTGAGAAGTATCAGCAACATTTTCATATTTTTCATTTTTATTATAAAAAATTTTTATGGATAACAAAATAAAAATATGTTATTAATTGAAAATTTATTATAATGGGTCACGTTTGTTCGGTCAAGTACCGAACGACTTTTTTCCAGAATTTGTGTTTGAATACCAAATTGTTTGAGTACTGAGATACCGTCATATTTTGTTCATCATTTTACACATGATTGCTTACCTACAGTTAAAAAGAAGTTTAAGAAGAGACATTTATGTGATCTTACACATTATAACATGTCATTCGATAATATCAAACTGCAACTTTAATGTAAAATGGCTGTTATTGCTAATGCTCTCATTCATAATGATATATTAGAAATATAAAGAATAATTTAATAGTTGTACAAATAGTTATTGTATTCATAATACAGTAAATTACAAAATGAATGATTTAGCATTTTTTGTAAATTCAGATGAAGTGGGAAAGGTAAATAGATAATGATTTTTTTTTTTTTTCTTTTATTTTCAGATGTTAAACCAAGCAATATTCTTTTAGATCGTCGTGGGAATATTAAACTTTGTGATTTTGGAATAAGTGGGCAATTAGTTGATTCTATTGCAAAAACAAGGGATGCTGGTTGTCGTCCATATATGGCAGTAAGTAAAATATATAATTAGAAATTACTGGAAATTTTATAAATATAAATAAAAAATGTAATAAATGTTTTTGTTTGGTTAAATTTTTTATAATCATTAAATATTTAGGAATATTTCTGTAAGGAAAACAACTTTTAAATATTTTAATGACCATTATATGTAAATTTTATAAAAATATTTAATAGTAATTTAGAAAATATGTACAGAAAAGTTTTATTTCATGCTTCATTAGTCACGTGTCACCAATTGGTTCTATTTTGTAAATAAAATTTAAGGAATTGCAAATGAAACCACCTTTTTGCCTTTTTGTTAACAAGTTGCCATATTGTTTTTAGTTAAATATTTTGTCATTTTTTTGAAATATAGTGTCTTATGTTTTAGGTCTTTTTTTCTGTAATCCTATAAGAGACTTCATTTATTACTGTAAGGTCCAAGACAAAGATGGTTGTATTATTGTTTTCTTTTGTCTAAATTTGTCCTTTAGAGAATGTTTGTTGCTTCAGTAGTTTTATTATTAGTAGTAAGGTGTGATTTGAGGTTGATTTATTATTACAATTTGTTTTATTTCTACTTAGAAAAAGAATTGCTGAATTATATTTCTCACTAATTAAAATTAGTTTTGGCATTATACGTTGTGAATTCTTAGAAAATAATACATTTAGCGATAAAGTTTTTAATTAATATTTCAATTTATGTTTTTTTTTTTCATAATTATTTTTAGCCAGAACGAATTGATCCTGGTAGAGCGAGAGGATATGATGTACGATCTGATGTATGGAGTTTAGGAATTACTTTGGTATGTATAATGGCTATATCATAATATATACTATATACAGTCGACTCCCCCTATAACGCGGTAGATACATTCAGCTTTATAAGAATTTTGCGTTGTAGGAATCCTTAAATACATGAGCCAATCACAGCCCGGCACGTGTACAGTTTACGGACTACGGCTGTTTGAAAGGTTTTCTTCCATAAAATTAATCGATTCTAGACTAATTTCACTCAACATTTCCAAAACACGTATAATTTTTTGGGAATAATCTGTATAAACTACGCTATAAACAAAAAATTGTAGGATTACTTACCAAGTGTGCACTGTTCAACCACGCCGTTGCTTAAGCTTGTTTTCGTCGCGGAGCAGCGCACCAAACAGCAGGCGCGTTTTCTGATAAGTTATTTTTCTGCGAAAAATTCGTTGAACTTTGGAGACATCATTAATATAAATAATTTTTATGGCCGTTGAATAAGAAATGTTTTTTTCACAAGAAATGTATAAAATTACAGTACTGTATTAGACTTACAGTACGTAATTTAGGCCTATATACTGTACTGACGATAGTAAACTCAACTTACCTGCCTAAACTCTCCGTAGTGTGTAAGTAGTTCGGCTGCTCGTCCACTATTGGTCCAGATTCGACCAATCCTGTCGCGACACGAGTCGGTGATGACGTTTTACCGCATTTTACGAGTCTCTTTTAGCATCTTTATACAAATATAGTCACAATTTTTTTGGCGTGATATACGAATCCGCATTATATGAACCCGCGTTATAGGGGGTCTACTGTATATATATATATTTGATAAATGTCTTTAATCTATTTGTTAATATATTCTAGATGAATGGTAGTTTAGGCATCATAATTATAATTTAAAATTTATGGCAATTTTTAAAGATTTTTTTTTTAGTTTTCTAATTATATTATGGTTAGCATTTTTCATTTAAATTATATTTGTAAAATTCTGTCAGATGGAAATTATTTTTAAAAAGTAAACTTGAAGACAAAGTCTGTTTAAAAAAGGAACCGCCATTTATTCAATTTTAAACAAACTTTGTCTTCAAATTTATTTTTATAAATTATATTTATTATAGTAAAATTTTCAATATGAAAATTTAGGAATAAACAGAAAAATTTTACTTTATTATTTTTTTAGTATTACATTATTTTTTAAACATAATTTTTAATTGCAACATTCTTCTGTTAACATTCCAAAAACTTAATTTCATTTTTATTACAATGTATTAAAAGAAATTATTTGTTTGAGTATCTGTCTAATCATGCATGGCCTTAATTGTATTATTGTCATGGAACTTCTGTTTTATTAAAAATTCCTTCAGAGATCCAAACATGAAATTTCACTGATGCCATGTTGGAGTTGTGTGTTTGAGATGATGAGTAATGTCAGATAAATTGTTGGTACAGTTATAAATTGTACCAACAGTTAATCTAACCATCAATAATAGTTAGTCTAAACATATTACAAGTGCTAATTGTGTTTAAAATTGCCTCATTTATTTTATAGATAGAAGTAGCTACAGGAAAATTTCCTTATCCTAAATGGAACAGTGTATTTGAACAATTAACACAAGTTGTCCAAGGTGATCCACCACAGTTAAGTCTTCAAGACAATGGAAATTCATTCACTTTAGAATTTGTAAATTTTGTTAATACATGGTATGTATATTTTAATTTAAGGTTAATCTTTTCAATATAACTTGATAAACCTATAACTTTGAAAAAATAAAAATGACTGTTTAAGACTGCAATTAAATATAAATACAAAAAAACTAAGTCAGAAATACATGGTACTCTATAAAATTCTCATCTTAGGCAATTTGGAACAACAAACTGGTTATTGCTTCAAAATGTAAATGTACTTATTTACCAATTTTCAATCTAGACATGGTATTTACTGCATTCATTGAATGTCCTCAAAATAAAAGAAACAGGATGTAGAAAATATATATACATTTATGTATGTATATATATGTTCTCAAATGAGAAAAGAAAGTATACATATTCAAAGTGAAATTTCTTTGTTTTGTCCCACCGAGAATAGATTTTTAGTTGCCTTCTTGGATGTTTACTTGCTTGAATTTGACAAACTCAAGCTCCCTCTGTGTTTGTCTTAGTCATAATTAACATTGAAGTATTCAACATTTTTGGTAATATTAGTTTTTTTAAAATATCAATGTGTTAAGAAAGCAGAACAGCCTTTTTCTCACTGCTTTAAAATTGATGTGGACAGGCCTGAAATGCAAATACAGAGCATAAAGCACAAATGCAGATGGAAATAAAAACATAATATTTAATGAAGTTTGTCAAAATCAAATAGAGCAAGTTTCTTTTTATGAACTGAAAATTTTTTTATTGAAGTTTTTTTTTATTTGTGGTTTTAGGCCCCTTACCGCTCAGAGAGCACAAAGAGGCCAAGAAGATTATGTATTTAAGAGGGTTTGCGTGGTTGGTGTCCCTAAGTGGGCTAATAGACATCCCAAGTAGGGCTTATGATGACTAGTCCCTTGTGAGGGCTCATAATTTTGTGTGTGTATGTTGTGTTTTAGATTTTATTCTGCATGTTATATCTTATGTAATGTTTATTTAACTTACCAAATTTCCATTGATCAAGAGGAAGGGAAAGGTAGAAAGGATAGTTACAGTATTCATTTCTAACCAGCCTGACCTAACCGGTATTGAAGTTTAACCAATAGGAGTCATTCTAGTCATGAGTATCTTGATTCAAAAAATGGTGAAGACTTTTTCTCTGGCAAATGCAGAAATCAAAAGTTGTTTAAATCTAAATTCATTGTAAGATTTATTTCACATATTAGAGGTTATTATTAAAGTTTATTAGTTTTTAACATTTCACTTTGTTGTTTGATATTAGCTCTTGCTGATCATATTAACTGTAGTTTATATATCAATGTATCATTAGACTTTAATCATGTATGTTATATTTTTGAAACAATTTATGAATTCATTAATGTCAATTATGGTATTTTTTCATTGTACTATTCCATAAAATCTATCATATAAGCAAAATAAATATTGATAGCTGATTTCATTACTTATGTTTTTGTCAAGCCATTCAATTCAATGCTTATTTAAGTTTTCATCTTTGACAGTTCTAACTAATGAGAATTAATAACAGAGGTATAATGCATAAAGCTTTTTGTTCATGTCCCACAGATTCTTTTGGAGAAAAAAGTTTTGACAGTAATGCCAGAATAAATGCAATTTTCTACTTCTACAACTTTGTCTTGCTCCATCAAGGCTAAAAAATATATCAATTTTTTCTGTTATATATCTTAAATTCATTGAAATAACAAGCTTGGGAATTTTTAAAATTTTTGTATTTTGAAAATAAATTCTAATATATCAAAGTAACATTTAATATAATGAATAAGTAAATGTGTTGTAAATTGATATTTTTAATTCTAATATTAGTTTAAATTAAATAAAATACTAATTAATATTTAATTTGGTTAATTTATTGATATTCTCATGTATATAATAAATATGAAATTTTTATAAATAGCTTGATCAAAGAAGAACAGAATAGGCCTAAGTACAAAAAATTATTGGTAAGATAAATGCTTATTTTATTTATTATTTAATATCTTATACAGAAGATATTTATAATTAATGCTTGAACTAAATGTTAAAAAATCCTCAAACATTGAATATTTTTATCTAGAATTAAAATATTCAGTTTTTTGTTTAGAATAAGGCAATGTCTTAAATTTTAAGGACATTATGCTATTATTTATTTATATGTATATTTTAGATTACAATTATCCTAGCCTGAATCTGTTTTTTAAATAGAGCATTATATGATATTTATAGAATTATATCATTTTATATTAATTAAAAAGAAAATTGGCATCTTTTTAAATGTTTCATACTTGTCATTATATTACAGTGGGTGATCGGTTAACGAACATAATCTGTTCCAAGAGTTTGTTCCCTATTTGAATTGTTCGTTAACTTATTATCGATTTACCGTAGGTTTTAATGGGAATTTAATTAATTTGTTCTGGAGACCCCCAAAAATAAAAAAATATGTACTTTCTTACTATGTTTATTTATATGTAATAATAAAAATACCTACATACACAGTCTTGCGTTTTTATTAGTCATGTTTTTTCCATTTGAAAGGGTTAAGCAATCGACATTAGACAGATTATTTTTCTCTCTTCTTCAGGATTTTTCATAAGTAATTAACTGCATTGCAATTGTAGAAATCCCCAAGCCTCAACCTGGTTTGGATGCCATTCTAAGACTGTTGTTCTGACATCCTCCCACTTCTTCAAAGGATCTTTAATAACAGATATCAGCATTAATCCTGTTTTTCAGAAGAAAACATATCTCGCCGAGTTTCTTGGTGTTCTGTCATCAGATCCGTTTCAGGTTCCATTATGAGCTCTTCAATGCTCTTTATTTCTCAGATGTGATTTTTGTTACTCCTTTAGTTGCTTGAGTCTTCTTGATTATACAGTATCTTTCTTCAATAAGATTGAACTGCGGCCTACTGTAGACTTGTTTACGCCATACTGCCCAGCAACATTAGGCATCTTCTGATTACTCTCTACCTTTGTGATTATACTCTCACCTTTCGAAAAGAAAAACAGACGCAAAACTTAATGAGTGCCTACCCGACAATTTCGCAAATACATAGAAAAATTGTTTTTGTCAGAAAAATAAAAGGCTGGAATTACAAGGAGAGTTTCAAAGTTTACAGGAATACTATCCGATCAGTATATACCGGCTTGAGTGTCGATGTCGACATCTCCCACACTCTGAAAAGTTTCGAATTGTTGCCCGAAGACAAGGGAAGACCAATCTGTATTCATTATTTTACATTGCTTCTTCTTGTGTTTGTTCTGTGGGGTGTTCATTATCTGATCACATGTTCGTTGTCCGAATATAAAAATCTTTTGCGAAAGTGTTCGTAANCTGATTGAATGGACATTTTTTCTATGAATAACTTCTTTGTTAATACAGTAGAGCATCATTTATCTGAAAGCCGGTTATCTGAAACATCGGTTAACCGAAAGCATTTCAGTCTGCAAATTTAAATTTTCACTAGTGCTATGGCACTCCAATCTTTGGCTATGTCTTGGGCTACTCCAATATTTTTTTTGTTGGTGTGTGTGTGTGTTTTAGCTGGCAGCACTGGCACTTTTGTGTGGTGTTTTTCTGAGGACTATGTGTTGTGCTGAATCGAACATTTTTGATACTAGATCAACTTCTAAAGTGTAATTTTTTTTGTTTTTAAATTTTTCAATACAGTGGAATCTTGGTATACGATCTTAATCCGTTCCTGGTGTTTGGATTTATACCGAATAGGACGTATACCAAACTAACCTTTTCCATAAGAAGTAATGTAAAAATGATTAATTTGTTCTCATGTAAAAAAAAATGGCTGGCTTTAAACACCTCGTTTTCCTCGCTAGTTTCTGCTTGATTTTTCATGAGATCAGCATGTATCCTTTTAACTTTCTCGCAAATAATTTCTTCCGATACACTGTCGCCGGCACACTGTTTTTCAGTTATCCAAACAAAAGCAATTTCTCGACATGATCTAATGTCATCGATCTCTATTTAGAAATTGATTTAACCCTTTCGCAATGTTAGCAGATTTAATAATGTCTTTATTTTTCACGATTGTTGCTATTGTCGTTCTCGGAATACGGAATGCAACAGTTAAATCTCGAACACGCATGCCACCTTCATATTTCTCAACAATCTCTTTTTTCAGTTCCATTGCGATTCTAGTCATTTTTTTATTTTTCTGTTGCCCTTTTGCAATTCAAGATTAATAAAAATAATAAATTGTTACTTACAAATTAAAATCAGAATAAATTTAAGAAAGTTATTAACCGTAGCACCGCGAATGTCTAGTCTAGTGTAGTACACCGATAGTGCTACTTGTTCATAGATGACGCGTATAATTGAATTAAGTCGTATACCGAGCAAAATTTGTTTCGTCCAAACAGGACGTATTCTAAAGCAGACGTATACCGAGGTTCCACTGTATATTTATTTTGTTTGTAAAAAATAAAGAAATAATTTTTAACTATACAATAGCCACGATTATTATTTTAAAAAGTTTACGTTAGGCTTAACATCAACAAAAATTCAACGCGAAGCGACACACAATGGAGAAAAATTTTAACATGGGATAGATTAATATATTTTTTCGTACTGTACATAATTGGTTATCTGAAAAATAAGTTATCCGAACAACCTCAGTCCCCAATTGATTCATATAAATGACACTCTACTGTAATTTAAAACAATTGTACATATATTAAAATTTTTAAGTTTTAAATTTCTCTAAAATGTAATATTTATTATTATCTGTGTTTTTTAAGAAAATATGAATATTTAAAATCTTTTTGTTTTAATTTACAATGCTCCCACTCACCACTAGTCAAATTATTTTTGCAAATAAAACTATTTGTTTGAATAATGAAATCATGCATACATTCATCAAATTGCAAAAGGACTTCTCATAGGCTGCAAACAACAATTTCTAGTGGCAATTTAAATGCCCATCTACCAGTAAGCTGTGTTAATGACCACCACCACTCATTTTCAGTATGTTGAGCATTATTCTCTCATCATTAAGGTGCAAATTATGTCAGTTCACATGATCAGTAATTTGTTATTAACTACTAGAGATGTAGATAGTTACCTACAGTTTTTGTTATACTACATTCGCACACAATCCACGACTCACTTTAATCTCGATTTGCCTACAATCTTGATTCTGACTGTCGCCGTCACCAGTCGAACGTCATGCTGTTCACACAGGCAGTCCACTTGAGAAGAACCCAGCTATTACATGTGATGATAAAACTGACATAACTATGCAGTAAGTCATGAACACCAACAAACTAAATGGAAGTTTTGGTTAGAAATAAATACAGTACTTTTTCTTGCCATATATCTAATAATAGACAGATGTCATCGTCTCTCCAAATACAGTATCTGTTTTATTTCTCTGTCGATACCTGACACGTGTTCCGCAGCCATCTTGTATTTTCTCGCATGTGTGGGATTGTGGGATCTCTCTTATGACTGGATCTAGTTTCAAGAACTCTCGAATCAATTGTGATTGAACCTCATTTCAGTCAAGATTGAAACAGTCGAGAGAGGTCGCATCAAGGCATATTCACTGACCTGGTCACAATGTAGATTGAAATGCTCAATGTGAACAGGGTATTAGGTTTCAGACTGTCAACATTGTGGTGTAGTTCAAATCAGTAATCATTTGAACAGAAAAGTCTAGCATTCATGTCTGCTGACGTAAGTAAAAAGAATGTGACAGTAAACTTAATATTGTATTGTAAAGACTAATATATTTAGTAGCTTCTATTCTAATAACTCTTAACATATGAGGCTGTTGCAGGTAATGAGTGCTATACAGAAGTTAAATTCAGCTTAATGTATGAGTAGACCTAAATTATAGATACATCAAAGTAAAGAATATAAGACAGAAAATTTCTGATCTTAAAATATTTCCCATTTTAGCAAAAATTCAAAAAAAATGCCTTCTATATGGTTATAACTTAATAAATAAATAAATAAAAGTTTGCCTGTTTGAACATTCTCAAAATCTAGTCAAATTAATCTGCACTCAAAAGAGCATTATTATTTATTAAATTATAATTTTATGATCTGAAAACCTTTTGAAAATGTTTAAATTCACATCATTGTTTCTAAAAATATTTCTGACCTACCTCAATTATTCACTGTCTTTTTCGTTAAGCTTTAGTCAGTTATTATTTTTTCCATTTTTATTACATTAATTTCAACTGCAACATTATTCATAAAAGTATTAATAAATTATATAAATCTGTAAATAGTTTAGTCATTGTTTATTTTTTTAATAATTAAGGTTTTCCTTCATTTTGAGTCTCTATTGTAACAGATGCATCTTTAAAGTAGAAAAATACTTTAACTTTATAAAACTAAATACACTGGAGGGCAAAAGTTAAGTTACAAGTGTTTTTTTTATTCTTAAATTAAAATAAAATAGAAACTTTATTAAAATAACAAATTTATTCACTCAATAGGGCACCCCTTACAGCAATACATGCTAGACACCTGCTTCTCTTACTCTCTACAAAGTTTTTGATCAATTCATTAAGAATTAAAGTCCATTCTCTTTGGAGAGCAGTCCTGAGCTTGTCAAGGTTTCTAGGTGGGGGACAGACTTCCCACTCATCTTCCAAGTGCATCCCAAGCATGCTCTATCGGGTTCAAATCTGGAGACCTGGATGGCCAGTCCATTCTTTGGATTCCAACGTCTTGAAGATACTGAGTCACCAAGTTCTCTCTGTGGGGACGAGCATTATCATCCATTAAACGAAATCTGTGCCTTCTGTGTGAGCCATTGGGCAAATATAATGCTTGAGGATCTCATCATGATACCTTTTGCCTGTTAAGGAACCTCCTTCAAAGACATGGAGCTCGGTGCGCCCAGTGAGAGAGATGCCTGCCCAGACCAGACCATCGCACCACTTCTGCCGAAGTTGTCTTTTTCTCTTATGTTTGGTGGCAGATAAAGCATCATCAAGAATCACTCTGTAAGCTAAAGCGGGATTCATCTGTAAAGAGAACGTTGCTTCAATTGTGGTCTGTCCAGTCTTGATGTTGACAACTCCAATTCAAGCACGCTTTTTTGTGGAACTGTGACAATGGAATTCACACAACTGGGCGTCTTGCATAAAGACCAACAGCAGCAAGCCTTCTGGATACAGTTCTGACAGAAATTCTTTTTCCTGTGGCTGATTCAAGCTCAGAAGCAAGCATCCTGCATGTTAGTCCTCTATTGCGTTTGGCAGTTACTTTCAAAAACCGGTCATCTTGCGGTGTGGTAACTCTTGGATGTCCTTCCATGGGAATTCTGGAGATACCTCCTCTAACTGTAAACTGTTTCCAGAGCCGTGAAACCACCATTCTTGAAATTTTTAGGTGCCTTGCTGCATCATCTTGACTGCCATTTCCATCCATCCAATAGCACACCATCTTAAAGAATCATCTAAATGGTGCCTAGAAGCCATTAGAATGGTAATGAATATGTCTTAATTAAAAAAAGCAGTTTAAATAAAGTTTGATTACAAAAAAACAGCAAAGTCAAAGGAGTGTTCTAACCAGCGAACCACTAAAGGTTGAATTAAACATACGTAATTTGCATATTGACAAGATATTTTGCTATTTTCTTATTCATCATGTAAATTTGTATATATGTCTACATTTTCAAAATGTTTTAGTGCTTTATTTCAAAAGTTATGAGGCAAAAACTACTTGTAACTTAACTTTTGCCCTCCAGTGTATTATGAAAAAGTTTGTTGTTTCATGGAAATAGCAACCTGTGCATGCATTATCCCACCATGAATCCATAATTTTCTTTAATGGCATCATCATTCCATCTCACATGAATGTTTCAATTAATACATTCAGCAAGATTATTAAATTAAATCCAGTTTAATGAACCAAATTTAAAATATAATAAATTAGTATAAATCATTGACAATTGATGTCATCTCAAACAAAACTAGAATACTTTCAAGAATTTTATAATTATAAGAAAAGAAAAAATTTGCAGTTAATTTATAATAAAAATAATCATTATTAAACATTACAACTATAAAAATGAAAAATTATAAATTTTGTAGTTGTGTACTGAATTTGACTAACATTTTCCATAACTAATTAGTCAAACTGTTAAAGAATTCTTCCTGCACTTGGTACCTTTTAATTCGTCATTTATTATTAATAATCATTAAAAATTGATACTAATTTAATATTGTTCGTTGATAGTATTCAGATCATAGTACATAGAACTCATATGATTTCTATGGTATTATTATGAAAATTATTTATATTAAATATGAGATTCACCGGATTCTCCATGTTAAATCTGATTAGTGAAGTAATAAAAGTTGAATTAAATTGTTTTTAAGGATGATGGCGATTTAAATTTTTAAATTAAATCAGTTGTTACCACTTAATAAGAAATTTTTAAAATTGATTACATTGTCTTCAATGTAAAATTTTCCAATAATCAAATTAAAATCTGAGCTTAGAATATCCTGTAAAAGTCTGGCTAGTTGACCTGATTTATCATATAATTTAGACCAGGGTTGTCCAACCTTTTTTCCTAATGGGCCAAATTAAAAATTTACATATGTTCAGTGGGCCACAAAGGTAATTTATATAAATATATGCGTTTAAAAAGTTCAAAATGTGAATATCTAATTTTGATAACAAATATATTTGATTACAAAAATTACTGTATTATTGACAGTAAAAACAAATTATACTCACACAAAATAGATATAAATTCAATGTGAGTTTTGACATTGCCTTCCTTTATATTGTCAATATCTGCATTTATGGTTCTAGTCTTAATTCTAAGAATGTTAGTTAAATGGGAATCACTCAACTTATTTCTTTCAGCAGTTTTGATGTTTTTCATGCATGAAAAGAATTGTTCCGAACAGTATGTTATGTATGTTGAGTAGTACAGGTTTCTAATGGCAATTATGTCAGTACAAGTGGATCCAGTTTATGACATACTTTACAAAGATAAATGAAAATGTACTGTACCTAAGAATTTAGGGTGCAGTGGGCCACGGGTTGGACATCCCTGATTTAGACTTTATTAAGTGACAAATATAAAGAAAAAAATCTTTAAAATTATAATTTGGATTTAATTAAATATATGCTTGTTTTTTTTATTTTCAGGAACATCCTTTCATAATTCGTTCGGAAAGGGAGACTGTTGACGTTTCTGGTTATATAAACAGTGTGCTAGATAAAATGGGCAGGAGCAGCTAAATATAGTAAAATTTTAACAGAAATTATCAGAAGAAATGAATTACGGTGTAATCAAATCACTTGCAACCTGAGCAATTGCACTTACACCAATGTTTTATAGTGATGTGTAAAATTGAACTGATTCAGTCACACACGAGACGTGTAGTAACTGGTTCACTAGTGAGATACCATTTATCAACATATATGGACCTAAACGAAACTATTATCTAATATAATTAAATTGAAAAATTTTAAAAAACATATTTGAGGTCATTATCATCTTAAAATCACCCAACGGAAACCAAGAATGGCATTACTACGTTGCTCGAAAGAAATTCCGAAAATGTTCGACTCTGTCGGCCCTTCTATATTCGATGATAGGATTGGAAGAAGTTTGGGTGAATAAAGAGATATAGCTTTATGTAATATTTTATTATGAAAAAAATAAGATAACACATATCCAAGTAATTATTTTTCTTTCGAATGCGTTTCCCAGTTTTTTAGAACTATGGAAAAAATTCCTTCTTTTCTCTCTCTCTCTCTTACGTAACGGCTGCAATTATTTTTACTATTTCTGTCAAAGTTGTGCCAAAGTATAAATAATTTACATAATGCTTTAAAAGTAATTTTTAAAATAATTGAGAAAACATGTAAAAAATGTGTACGGCTTTTAATATCTATGTTACCACAGTTTTTAATCATTGGACTAAAACAGTTTTTTTTTAAAGTTTGTTTAAAGAATTCTGCTGCTGTTTTGTGAACATTAGTTTTATCCTGAATTGTAAAACATTATTATTATTTTGGCAAAGCAAAGCAGATTTGTATAAATATAGATAAAAGTTACAATACTGTTAAAGAACTGCAATCATTCAAATGCAAAATTTTGCACATAATTCAATGTGGATGTTTTAAAAAAATGATTTCATCCTAAAATATATTTGATCATCATCATAATTAAAAAAATAATAAAAATGAATTAAAATTTGAAAAAATGTTCATAAATATTAAAGCTAATGTNAAGAAAACTGTGTTTGTAGTTTAAATTTAAAAATGTGCATTAATATGATGAAAGATTGCATTTATAAATTTAAAAGTTAATTGCTAAGTTAATTTCTTTTTAATTAAAAATATGCTGGAATGCTACATTAAAAACAGTAATTAATTGCAAAAATGCATTTTTAATTTTTCTATATTGGGTAACTGTAACAAAGCATTATAAAATTATTAGAGAAGTTTTAATGTTGAACTATAAAAATTATATATTTCTTCTCAAGATTATGCAAATTAGGTTTTTTTTTAAATATATTAACAACTTCAAGCAACTATATTGCTCTAATGTTTTCTAATAATATAAAAAGCAAATTGTTTATATTTAGCATGTAATAATGATTAACAGACTAACAAAACAGAATGAGTAACTAGAATAGAAAGAAATAAACAAACAGATGCTGTTTTTAGAAGCATCTACTTTTAAATGCAAGCAATGTTAAATTTAGAATAAAATAAAACATCTCTTGGTTAATTTAATTTTAGGAGCGAGGTGAGGTTCAAAGTCATTGACACAATTTGTAAATACTTGCTAGTCTAATTGAGAATAATAGATTTTATCAAAAATTTCATGTACAATACTTTTCCATTTCAAATTATTAAATATTCTAGTAGAACATTCTCAATGAAAAATCTGACAAATAAAATAATACTTAAAAAGTCAAAATTTAAAAAATTTTAAAGGTAATTAAAGGAGCCAAAAATTATTAGATTAAATGTTTTTCAGGACTCCTTTATCCCATTGTCAGATTGCTAAAATATTCAAACTGAAAAATTCAAACAAGAACAAAGAACATTCATAAATTTCCTCTTCCATTGAGCACTAAGAGGTAGTTAATTAGTTTCTAATATTGACTTGTCCATATAATTGTCTGATTATTTAACACTTCATTTGATTTAACTAATAAATTGAGTTTAGAGATGATGTTGACTAATTGGAAAATACTAAATGTTACAAAGGAATTTTATAAAAAATAAGAAGTTTGAGTTTGGTTCAGACTCATTATAATTTACCATAGGCAGTACTGTTTGTGGCTTTGTTATCCTATAATAATTGATCACTAAACACTCATTACAGATGTCCCGAGCTATTGCAGGTCATCTATGCAGTGCCAAACACAATTACATCATGCCTGTCACAGCTGTGACAGGCATAATGTAATTGTGTTTGGTCAGAGCCTTATTGTACTGGTGCCTTATGTTGATAATTAGTAGTCAGTAACATATACAAGTTTTAAAATATCAGTTTTAAAATTATACAAAGAATAGGCGGGGAAGCAGTGGCTCGATAATATAAAATGATACGTAATAACATATACAACAATCCAATACACTTATAGTACCAAATGATCTGTCTGATCTTTTATCGGGCTATATTAAGGCTAATCAATAATCATATACAAAGCAATTTGGCTTAGAGGTAAGTAGTTAAGTTACCACCTTTAGCCAAATTGTATCCAATTATCATCATAATTAGCCTTAATATAGCCCAGTAAAAAACCCAGCCGATCATTTGGTACTCTGTACTAAAATGATAAAATTCACAATAGCAAAATTAAAATTATGAGTTAATAAAGTGTACTTTTACTTACACAGTGACAAAAATAAAATAAAAAGTCACTTGACAAATGTGGGTAATGTATTTTGGGGAACACTGTTGTTAGTCTGTACTTATTCAAAAGTAATGTGAACCAACACGCTATGGGAACATGCTGGATTTCCTTGAAGACCTCTGAATCAATGACAGGAACTTTGGTTCCAGCAAGATGGTGCAACAGCACATATTGCCTTATCTGTTTGGGGGAAAATTAATGCATGTTTTCGGGATGTCGGATTGATTGCAGTGGCTTATCATCAAGGCCCCCGTGCTCATCTAATTCAAATGGATTTCTTCCTATGGGGCTGTTTGAAGCAACATGTCTTCCAGACACTGCCTTCCTCCCTCGAAGAGTTGAAGGACAGAATTGGTATTGCTCTTCACAACATTTCACATGTCACTCTTGCAGCTATGACACGTGAATTCCTGCATCATGTATTGTACAACACTTTGAGTTGTCGAACCATTTTGAACATGAGCATTGATGAGTATTTTGTAGAACACTCCATACTCACACTGGTCTCAATCTGTCATACAGACTCCATTAAAGTCATTTACAGTGTCATTCTGTAACTTGCAATGTCACTTTTCCTCATTTGGCAGTCGACTGTTTGGCCAATATGGTACTGGTACTTTAGACTTTGTTCACATATACTGAAAGTTCATTTACATTTTTGTATACTACTAAATATATACCGATGCCATACAGGTGGCCTTACGAGATCATTCTGAAACAAGATGTCACGTTAATACGAAAGGTTCCTCACCCATGATGTAGTGTATTCCAAATGAGTTCATCTAAGCTAAGGACAGTTTATTGCTCATAGAATATTTTACCAGAAGTTTTTAGATATTAACTGTTTAAATATTCAGAATTATTTTTTGATAATGGAAATTTTTATTTTCTATTTTTAGTTAAAAGCATGGAAACATTGAAAATCATGTAAACAAAGCATAAGAGCCCCAAAAAATGGCAATTGCTTTTAAAATTCTGCTTAGAGTACATATAATTTGTTACAAAGTATTTGTAGATGAAGTCATTTTTATGAAGGAAATGATAACATTCTTGAAAATTAGTTCAAAAGTAGAGGGAAAATTCCCTTCTGTATTTTCTGAATTTCGCATTTCTAATTTTTTTGAACTGACTGAATTAATCCAGAAAATGAAACATAACTCTTACATATGCAGAAATGATAAAACTAGTAAAGAAGTAAACAATTCAAGATGTATATTTATGCTAAAGTATTCTTGGAAGAGTACTAAAATATAATTGTTAATATGAAAAACAAAAACTAACTTGTTAATAGATGTATCATTTGAACACTTAATACTGAATTTATTCACAAATATTCTAAAGTATTAACTTTTAGTAAAGGAGATAATGTTCTGGGTTTAAACAATACCAATACTTAGAACAATTTCTGAAATAACGAAGCGTTTTTAAGAAGAAAGATGACTCCATGTATAGGTTAACGGCAATTGACAGTCTTTCCTGTTTAAATTGCCACGGAGTTATAAATAGATTAATCTGGCAACAAACAACCCGTGGCCTACCACATCCTAATGTATGCTCTCGGGGCTTTGGTAACATAATTTTATTTTGTTTTCTGCCTCGTGTCATCATGATCTAATTAAGCCAATACCGACCGATACGTGACAAAGAACAGTCAAAATAAACTCAACCGGCAAAAAGACGAGAATAAACTATACATTACTAGCTTGCATATCGCTAGCATATTTTAGTACCCAGTTTACCGACCGTTACGGAGTATGTTGGTACTCGACAGGCTTGAAGCCCGCAAAACTAAATACAAGTGGTCCACCAGAAGCCAATGAAGTTCGTCTAAGGCCTACATGCAGAAAAGGTGGTTCATCACCAGATTAATTTATTTGGACATAATAAATTAGGTTCAAAGTAATCTAGCACATAATGTATAAACCATGTGATTGGTTATTTGCACTTTTTGTTATCAACTCTAATAAGAATCACAACTTATATTTCTAAATTTGCTTAATTCCTGTCAAATTGTAAAGTGGTGGTGGTGGAAATTACAAAACAAACAAAAATTTTGTACAGAATAATCTTGTAAAGTAGGCATACAAGCATTTAACTGTGTATATCAGTGGTGATTATTGATGATCAACTTTTTCTAGATGTGGGCAGCAAGTGAATTTCGTAAGCTACTGTCTTGCCATTTATTTTTTCTTATTTTTGCAGGCTTTAAGCCTACAGAGTATCGCAACACTCCATGACAGCAAGTATATTAGGCACTAAAATATGCTAATAATAAGCAAACTAGCAACTAAGCAGTCATCATGTTCGAAAGAATTCTCATCTATGTGACGAGAGTATTCGAATTTGAAAATCTTCAAAATTAATAATTTACATAAACGCCATCTATCAATGACGCTCTGTGGGACTGTCCATTAATTACATGCATAGTTTAAGGGAGGGGCTGAGGTATTATCTACATGGGCTTTTGTTTGGTTGTAGTGACACGAAGCCTAGTTAATAATGGTGTGACTAAACTATTAGAAAATATTTTCGGAACGTGCTCATTTTTTCAATTAACGGCAGCTTTAGCCAAAGTTAATCTGAAAAACAATTCTACAGACTTCAAACGTTAAACATTTTATTCTCTAACCCTGCGTTCAACAGCATGTACTGTACAGTACAGGATTTTGAGAATTGGGTGCTGCTCAAGGTAGATTTGGGGAACCAAGGCGCGTACAGTACCCCTTGCCATTTTTCGGTTATTCAATTACTTTAGTTACCTACTTCAAGTTATACGTTATTATATTTATTTTTAAAGTGACGGTACTGATTACAAAAGGGATACATACTGCAGTACAGTACCATAAGCACTCCCCGGATACACTCATGATGAACGATGACTTATTTTCAACTATTAATTAACTAAATTATACAAATTTAACCTTTATAGTTGCAAAGATTTCGGTAGATTTGCGTCAATGTATTCTGTATAGAAATAATTGTTATTTCTGTCAAGCGCTCCTCCGCCACGTTTGCTCGCAGGCGAGCATGCACACTGATTTGTTACTCTGTCTGCGACATGATTATTGCTACGTATATTTCGATTAAATACGTTAAATCATTGACAAAAGATAATAAATGTATTTTGTATGGAAGTATGCTTTAAAATAAATGTTAATTTTTACTTTATAATTAATTGCTTTAATTTTTAAGGAAAAAAAATAAGATTGACTATGTCTGTTGAGAAATTTTTTTGCTCAGAGAAGTACAGTACATGTTGCGCTCAGCTACAAAAAAATAGAGGGAACGTTGGTGACGAAAGCTCAGTTATACCAATACAATGATCAGTGTGGATTCCGTGGTTAATGCATTTTTTCAAATCGTAGCATTCCGCACCAATTCCCGTGTCCTATTAGTCTCAAAATAAGCTGAAAATTATTTTGAGTGTTAGTGTATAAAAATTCGGATGTGCGATAATGAGATTGCAACGTTTCAAAACGGGTTTTAGGTGAAAAATTTGTTTAAAAACTTTTTGATGATAGCTTGCTGCCGGTGTCTGGAAAATGAACGATCCCCGATCCACGAATACAATCTTTGGCAAATTTACTATGGTTCCACAGAAAACATTTGTTAAAAGTTAACGTGCTAGAATATACTACATGAATAGCCGAGCGACGCCATGTTTGAAGGAAATTGAATACAGGTCCGCCATTTTCCTTTTAGTCGAGGGGGCGTGGCATTTGTATTGTATAAAGGCAACGAGCTAGAATATTTCAACTCGTTGTGTAAAAGCGATAGCGCCCGTCGTTGCTACCAAGAGTGCTGTAACCGCGGTCACAGCCACTATGTAGTACTGTATATTCTAGCTCGTCGGTTAAAGTACTTTAAGTAAAATAAACCAACAAAAAAGGAATATTTTATATTTGGTGGCCAGGGTCAGCGCCCCAACAGCCTTAGTCTATTAATTGTACAGTACGTGCAATTAAAGGCGAGGGGTTTGCCAAAACTACGTCATTGTATACAACAGGAAGGGTTTCGAAAACTGTACACGTAATTAATGGACTGTGCCTATTTTTTTTAACTCTTTCCGCCCTGTGGGCACTAAGAGGGCCTCTTTTTGCAAGCCCATTGTGGGTTCGGCCAGGCTCACAATGGGGCTGCCGGGTGGTGAGGGACGGGGCCCGACATATCCGAACGGACCACCCACCGAAAAATTCCTGGGGGTTTTTCGATCCGTTCGGAGGCACAATTCTAGGACAAATGTAGCAAATTGGGACTTTGACAGAGCAGTAGAGCATATCGATAGGAACAAAAAAGTCAAAGGAACCATGTCCGTACGGGCGACCCTTCGCGAGATATAGGCCCCCAAAAATGCCGCTAATTAGGCAACGCTTTCTATGCCGCCGCCGCTCTATACTGAGCGCGCTTCTATTTCCCTATCTCTAACACATTGTAACTGACGACGGAAAAAGCCAACAAAACAGATTATACACTCACCTTCGGCAGAGTCTCCTCTTCTCGCTACCCGACGACGACTGGCCCGTTTCTGATCTTGTTTAGGAGAAGCCGGGGTAAGACCGCCGGTCACCGCTGCCGCTTCCTCCTCCTCGGCTATGTCCAGGAGGTCGACGACGACGAAGATGGGATCGCCCGATGTTATTCGAACAATCGCATATAATCCTGGGTTTGGGTACAAGTATCCTTCGGTAATTAATTGGTAATAATTATGTTAATTTATTAGAATAGGTTAGGTTAGGTTAGAAAGTGCGTCCCCACTGACCTGGCGTCCTCTTAACCCATAAGTACCCAAATATCGAATATTTTATTAGAATAGGTTAGGTTAGGTTAGAAAGTGCGTCCCCACTGAACTGGCGTCCTCTTAACCCATAAGTACCCAAATATCGAATATTTACTGGAATATCACAAATGCTGAATATTTACTGACTTGTACTCCTAACTAATGCGGTAACAAACACCGGCCGAAAATGCCCGAAGGCGGCCTGAAGGCTTATGAAACCTCGGTGGGCCGGGATTAGGTCAAGTGACCTACGAGCGTCCGGCCATTGGCCGCGCGACGGGCCCGCTGCACCTGAACGGCGGGGGGTGGCCGCGTGGCGCGGCGCGCTCAATCTGTGTGGCCGATGGGGGCCGCCCGGAGGGCCCGTCATGCGCAATGAGCTCCTCGGCCTAGCATGGCTCAAGTATGAGTTCCGAAGTGTTTCTACAGAGCGACCTGGCGGGCCGGTGAGGAGAGAAGTGGATCGGCGCCTGCTGGGACTGGGGTTCGATCCCCGGCTGAGGTAAGAGGTGTAATAAATAATAGATATTTGTATTTACAGGCAACAGATGGCGACTCCTGAAGGCTGCAGGCGGGAGACTCGGGCCGCCGGCCGCGTGCCAGGGGGAGACGCGCGCTGGGGGCTAAGGAAGGGGGAGTTGACGATTTTTTTTCAACACTGAGATGGGGAAAACCGAAAAAAAAATTTCGGGCACGTGACGCCGTCCCTTTTGGGCTCGGAGTCACGTGACCGGATGTGACGTAGGCGCATCTTTCGAGGGCTATATCTCGCTTAGGGTCGCCCGTACGGGCATGGTCCTTTTGACTTTTCTGCTCGCACAGGGGGGCTCTACAATGTGGGGGGGACGAAATTTTGCTACATTTATCCTAGAATCTTGCCCGTTCGGATTCGAATCCGGGTCCCCCAGAGCGGTGGGTGCCACCTTGACCGCTCGGCCATCCGGCCGCTTAAGGACTGTGTCTATTTAAAATTACATTTGATTTATAGAAGTTCAGTTAAAAGTGTCTTATTCTAATTATATTATTACATTTAAATTTTGTAGGAAAAATATTTTCTAAATAATAATAATAACATCGAATAAAGTTTTTATTATGATCGGTTCTCCGGTATTCGCTCCAATTTCGTCACATCCTGTCAGTTATGGCAAATTCTTCCGGGAGGGGGCGTTCTTTTTCACTTTAGGAGAAATTAGGGAAAATATTTTTATGTAGAAAGAGAAATTATGCACGTCGATATAATGTAAAATTATCGCCCAAAGGTAAGTATTTTTTAAACGTTTTTTTATATTAGTAAAAATTGAAAACGTTGCAAGGTTTTTGAGTTAATGGTCTAATGAACTAACATCCTGTTATGTGTGAAGATTTGTTGAAGTATGTTTGATTATATATTTAACTTAAATTTCTTATGACTGCTGTTATATATATATTGTAAAGTCTTTGTAAATCCGCACATAAAATGTAAATTTTAATATTCATATTTAAAATTTAATATGGCGGTGATAGTCTACCGCCAATATTAAAATTTACATTTTATGTGCGGATTTACAAAGACTTTACAATATATATATTTAACGTTAAATTGCCAGTTTGACACTTCATCTGGCGCTCGTTGTTGAAGTTTCTTTAAGATTTCTAAATTTTATTAAACTTCTGAAGGAATTTATGTATTAAAGCCTGATTTTTCTAATATTTTATATTTATGCAGTTATATTGATAGAAAAAAGCAGCCCGATCAATCTCTTGTAACGGCGAAGCAACCCGAATTAAAACAATTGCGGATGTCGAAGCAGTGGTGAGTTATCTTGCGGGCGAAAAGGGTGATTGTCCGGGGCCCCAAATCGATGCTTTATAAGAAAATAATACCCGAAAACATTCCTCGTATGTGGGTCCCATAACTCTAATTTCCCTGGGCCGTGTGAAGCTATGCCGTGCCACTGTATCAAAAAGTGTTGTTTATTTATCGTGATTGCGTGCGACCGTTTAACTAAATTGTTTATATTTGTTGTTAGTGGTAATGGTAAATTTAAGAACGTGTATTAGATAATGCTACGACGGCATGGCATTTTGACTTAAATCCTATCTGAATTCTTGTTTTTATTTATGCAGTTACGTCGATAGAAAAAAGCAGCCCGATCGTTAATTTTTCTCTTACAAAAATTAAAACAATTGCGGATTTCAAAGTATGTTATTTACTTACTGTTAGCTAAGCGATTGCATGTTAACGTGCATTTGTTTGGCTAAATTGTTTATATTTGTTATTAGTTAACGGTAAATATAAGGTGGTAAATATACTAAATAATGCTATGATGACAGACATAGCGTGTACTATGGCAAGGGATTTTGATTTGAATTGTAATTTTTGCTTGGATACTAATGCTCAAATTGTGATCTCTATAATTTTTATGATACAAATTTTTATCATCAGTAGAATTAAATTTTTCTTTAAAGCAATAGATAATATATATTGTTAGATTGGTGTTCCTCATCTCTGTGCCAGCTGACCTCATTGAAGATCTAGTTTCTTCGTAGTGGACAAAATTGGACTATCAAATATAGCCTGTAGTTTAGTGGTGTCTCTTATTAACAAGTTAGATCAATGTTATATCTGTTGCAAACAATCATAATCTTAAATATAAAATGACTGACTTTCATGAATAGGTGATAGCTGATATACTTTATCATAACCTATTTGTTAATTGTTACAATTGTTTTTATTGGTAAGGAAAATTTATTTTCCCAGAACTGTGGCATTGGATTAGTTGATTAAGAGAAATAGATTAAACGATAGATTAAAAGAGACATAGAGTCACTGTATAATGAATGCAAATCTCTTAAAAAAAAATATATATATATCCTTTCTTGGGGAATGCCTTATCAACCACTTTCGAAATTCCTGTTTTAAAGTGATCTCCAATTTAAGTTAATTTCCATGATTTTTTCCTTGAAGATACTTGTATGTTTTGTTTATAAGCAAAATAATAGAACAAGTGAAATGATGACAAAAAGTGAACAAATGATCGCAAGACAATTTGTGGTTGAGTGAAGCTCACATTCCTTGTAAGTTCTGTTCTAGAACTTTAAATCTTAACTTAGACATTTTTTTAGTTTTAGAACTTTAACAACATTGTCTAATATTAGATCTAAAACTAAATGTGGCAAACTTGGCAACAGCTTGCATAAAAATGCTACTAGTGATAATAGACTTGGGTGTTTTGAAAATGTTTGATGACAAAAAGCATAACTTTCTTGTTAGATTAAAAAGTAAATAAATCTCAAAAGCGTTCTGCACATTTTTGCACAGCTGCTCTATGATCTGAAATAAGTTCCTTGTAATGAATGAAAAATCATTAAACAGTTTTGTTGTTGTTTTTTTAATACACTGACTAATGTAAAGTATTTGGATACCTTGCTTCAAACTTCAATGACTGACAGTACCATTTTGTTGTCCCTCCTTTTGATGCTATCATCACCTGTACTCTCCAGGAATCACTTTTCAGCAATCTGTGCAGCACAGACATTGGACTTTTAAAATAATTCTGTGTAATTTACTTTTGTTTCTTCATACACACTTATCATAGTGCTAACATGAATGTTCTTAGTAGTGTGGTAGTTTACATATGTGATTGTATCAATATTATGATGGAAGAGTTATTGTTGAATTCTCCGATGAAAATAAATGCATGCAACATTTCTTTCAAGAATGTACTATTAAGTAACATAATTTTATCGTATATTAGTGATTTTTACTCGGGCATAAACAATTTTGTTTCACGTAGTCTTTAATTTAATATATTGATTTTAATTTACTCATTTCAAAAATATCCATTTGGATGAAGTAACCTATCTTCTATAAATTTTATAACTACTCCTTTTATTTCCTTTTTGGAATTTCAATAAAAATAAATTCTCATTTCCTTTGTTGCCAGGATATTCAGATCATCTGTACAGCTTTGAGATAATTAAATGAATGGAAAAATAAAGCTATGTTTGAGATCTGATACAGCTACAAAAAAGTTTTTCTCTATGCCTTCATATAAAATTCTTCATATAACAGATTTTTTTTTACTACTATCACACACAAGTGTTGGGAAGTGGATTTCTATCACTTAGATTATTGATGGAATCTAGGTTATTTACATAACATTTATCTTGTCTTATTCTATAATGGACAGAGAAATTTTTGTTTGTGTGTTGTGTGCAGTACTTCCATTTGAAAATAATAATCCAAATTTGAATGTTGCATGTGAATGAACTTGAATTTCCTGTATGTTCTTACATTCAGGAATTTGCTTATATTGCCTGAAGATTGACCTAAGTCTGAAAATACCAGGAAAGTTTTTGTTTGTTTTTTTACATTTTAACCATTTTGACTCCAATAAAGCAGTGTATTTTTGAATATGCAGGAAGAATGGAGAGTTTTAAGAAAGAATACTTGACTGTGCATACTAAAGAATGTAACATGAACTGATATCTTCATGTTAAATCAGGAGTGTAATTCTTGAATGTTATGTAGTATTTAATATTTACTGTAAAGATAGATTATGGGAACCTGAAAACACTTAGAAACTTGTAGTAGTAACTAGTAAATGATGTAAATTCCAAAAAACAACAGATCAGTTAATAAATATTTAATATTAATACTATAGTTAGTTTTGTGTTTTATTTGCTGAAGATTATGAAACAGTCTGAATCAATGTAAGTTAAGTTTGAAAGCTATGAAAATTAATTTATTTTTCATTCCACTGTATTTGAGATCTGTTAAAAAAATAAACAAATTCTGTTAATATTATGACTAATAATTTAGGAAACAATGAATCATTTGAAATTTGACATATTCAATGTTTGCATAATAAAATGTTGCTTGTGAAATAGGTAAATGTATTTATTACTTGTATATAATTTATTAATTTAGATATAAATATATAATATGTACATATTATATATTTAAAATAATTTTATATAAGTTCCAAGTATTCAAATGATGTAAATCAATAGTGAACATCCTTTTTATACAAGAGAGAATTTGGAAAATTTAATATAATGTACAGGGTGTGGCAGAAAGGATAGACGTTTTTAAAAAAATCACATCATCTGTAATTGTTACTACAAAAGATATTTGTTGGAAGATGTATTGAAATAGCATTTTCAGAATCAAGTGTGGAAAACATCATGTTCCATGTGGTGTCCATTATCAGTGATGCATTTCTAGAGACAATTCTGGTGACTTCCACGCAAATAGCTTCCTTCAGTTCTTGCAAAGTACGAGTTTATGCTTATATACACATGCCTTGAGGTGTCTCTCCAAGAAATAATTGCACATGGATAGGTCAGGCAAACAAGGAGGCCAATGAATGTCACCGAACCTGGAAATCAGGCAGCCAGGGAAAAGACGACGAATAACGTCAATTGATGCTCTAGCTGTGTGGTCTGTTGCTCCATTCTGTTGAAACCACACACATCTGATGGGAATACGTTTCCATCATATGCAAGGATGCGGAAATGTATTCTCATCAGATATATGACTGAGCAATCCCCTTTGCATATGATTATTTCCTCAGTCATATGCAAACACCTGGTGTTCTATTGTCCATGGGTCCAGTTGAAGGCATGGGTCCATGCCTTCAACTGAAAAGACAATACTAAGATCTCACTACTTTCATGCTCCACACATCTGTCATCTGTCACTTCACCTAGTGATGAGTTGTAGCCATTTCAAAAACGTCTGTTCTTTCTGCCCCATCCTGTATATGTATATATTTATATAGACTCTATATATATAAACTTAAATTACTTGCTTTATTCGACAAACAATACTTAATGAAAAAATTGATGCTGCTGTTTAGCCATTATAGATTAAATATTGGGGTTTATTTGATAGATAGCAATGTGGATGCAATACTCTAATTTTATATCAATGAGTTGGCTTAAACTTATTCTTAATGTTTCTTTATAAACAATGCAGTCCATAAATTTTAGGACTGGAATGACAAAAATAAAAAATACTTGATACAAAGATAATACACACTTTTTTTATTCAAAGCACAATCCATTGGCGCAGCTTTAGCACAGTTTTTCAATTTTTGAAGAGCTACAGAAAATTCCTCTCTTTCAACTTTGTCATCTGCAGCTTTTTGGATGGTGAAAACATCTGCAAATTAGTGCCTAAATTAAGCTTCAAATTCTGCTTGGGAAATAGAAAATAGTCTGGAGGAGACAAATCCATGGGTATAAAGTTGATGTGCACTTGCAGCTTTGTGAGTTGCTGTGCTATCATGCAACAGGAATAAGTCTTGGGACCAGAATTTGGTGCTATAAACATGCCAAATGATTTAGTAGTACTTTATAAAACTCTGCATTCACTCTTCTTCCTGTACAAATTATTTGTGAACCTTGCCTTGTGAATAAAAAAAATGATCAATATCTTTGATGCACCACTTTTGGAATTTAAATTTCTTTGCTATACACAACAGTTGCTATTATTTAATTAGCATGTTGGGCAATACATTGCTACACCATTGTTCTTGTAAAATATTAAATCTTAAGACTTGCAGATCAAACTGTATATGTTCTTGTGAAAAGTTTTTCCATCCGAGCATTGGAAACTCATCAGATAGATATAGCTTTCAAATTTAAACTGTATTCTGGAATTTGATGAAAACTTCATGAGGAATTTCCTTATTATAATAAGTTCCTGGAGGAAATTTTAAAATCCACACAAACACATCAAAAAGATTCAGCATTGAAATATTGATTTGATTTGTTTAAGATAAAAATGATGATAATTATATATGGAGAGATCCATTTCATACTAAGATTTTAATCTACTTCAATGCATAATTATGGCTTTATTTATGAAATATTTGGAAATAATACAAAATTTTCACTATTATATCTGTTCATTTCCATTAAAGTAGTGTATGTATTCAATTGAAATTTGTTACTTTGCTTTTTGAATATTTATTACTTACAATTTATTCTCTATCCACAAATAATTTACTGTTTGAACATTGACATTAAATATTTTTTTATAATGCGAAAACTATATTGTAAATATTTCTTTTGCAGTTTGATTAGTGAAAATTATAATTTTTTGAAACGATCATTTTACAATATCGTATTTAGAAATTTGTTCCAAGGAACTTTTATTCTTTAAATTAATACTAAAAAGAATTATATGTTGTCATTTATATTAATGGAAATAATCGATTCTTAAGTTTTATCTTGCTATTATCACTTTTTTTCAGATTATATTTGATTTATTTCTGTTAAAGTGATAGCTTTATATGATATCTGATGAGCATGATTAATTTTATATTAAGATGAAATGATTTAAATTAGAAGATAAATATATTATAAAATAAAAAATATTTAAGAGATTATGGCAAAAGAATTATATTTTTCAAGTGGACGATTTATAAACTAAATATTTACATTCTTCACTATATTGTATGATAAATAATTGAAATATATCTAAATTAAATAAGGAAAATAAGGAGATGTTTATTGTTCAAATAAGCTGAATACTTAAACATTAAGTTATGTTAGAATTGGTTATTAAAGTTTTTGCTTTTAAAAAAATAATTAAATCCAGCATGAATATAACCTTTCATGCTGGATTTAATTATTTTTTAAAAGAAAAAACTTTAATAAAACTTTTTTATATATATAAGTTTTATTACATTACACTGGATCTATTTAGAAAAAAAAAATATATATATACTGTATATATATATTTTTTCTAAATAGATTCAGTGTAATGTAAGCTTTAAATTAATCTAGATTTCTATTATAATAGTTTAAAGTGAAAGGATGTGTTTTTGTATCTTGCATTTTCAATTTAGAAAATTGAATTAGATATACTTAGAGTGAAAGTACACTTACATAAATGAATCAGTATATCAATGAAAATACATATATACATTTTCAGGCTATTATTATTAATAATTAAACATTTAAATTAATAAAACTGATAAAATGTAAATAAACAGGAGTAAAGCTTGTAAATCAAGATCTATGCAATATTTACTAAAGAAAATTATTATCTGAAACAATAATATAGAAAATATATGTAAAGGAAATATATAAATAACCTTTGATTCACTAAGGTATTTGATATTTATTAATTTGAACATTTTATTTGCTAAATTTATAGTTTTATAAGTAAATTTTTCCTTTAGTCTGCTCATTTCTAATGATATAATGAAAGCATATATATATGATGATAAAAAATTTAGAATACTGGTATTACTATTATAATAAATAATGTACAATATTTTCGTTATTTCTGTACAGTAACTTCCCATTTTTACAACTGTTAAGCGTGTTGTCATATTTCCCGTAAAATTCTGCATCATAAATCAGTCTTATAGATTTTTAAAAACACTGCTTGAACTAGAGTACACGCAGAGTTGGCCGACAAAAACATATTTTTCACAGTAGAAAATTTATACCCATCATCAGAGTAAGAATTGTGAAGTGAGAGGTTCCATCGTACTTACAACATATAATTATTTTTGATACTGTCCTTTTTAAATAAACAAATCAAATTAAAATGCTAAAGCTAATGTGTTTATAAGATTCATAACTATTCTTGTATACTTATTATTTTGTTCTTAAGAAATTGCAGTGTAGTCTGTCATGGAGGTCAACAACATTTAGACTGATTTAAGTTAATTTTAAGCTTTTATTAACATAATGTACTGTTTAACTATTGAAGGTCACATTTTTATGAATGAGTAATGTTTAAAGTATAAATGCTACTAACTAGAAAAGGCTAATAATTTAATTTTTCTTTTCAATTAATGCCATATTAATAGAATCTTACAAAAATCAATATTAAATAAATTATTTGATCAACTGTTAAAATATAAAAATATCTTTGCTTTAAATTTGAAGATGATTTCAAAATTAATTAATAATTTGAGGATGCACATTTCATATTATTGTACAGAATAGATTATTGAACGAATTAAAATCTCATTTTTTCTCTTACTCTTTTCTTCCTATGGGCATTAAGAAGTTTTTTATTCCAGGTCCATTGTTGATTGATGCAATAGGGGCAGTTGGATGATGAGGGTTGGGGCTTGATGTATCTGGATTGGACCACTCATGAAAAATTCTTGAGGATGTTAACATGGATTCAAATCCAAGTCTTTAGAGAAGTGATCTGATACCTTGTCTCATGACTTTGAGAAAGCTGGAAGCACTGTACTTTATGTGAAATGATGTTACATAATTGTTATTGAATTCAAGGGACCACAGCTTGCTTTATGTTATGTATTAACTGAACTTGTCAACATTGAAATGCCTATCCTTGGCCATCTTAAGTTTTCTGTTTAAGAGCAGGAGCATCAGAACACTGAAATGCCTTTCTCCAACTCTCTGTCACTAGCTCTGGTTTTGAGAGTTGTATAGCTTTATCCATCTTTCAGGTTGTCAATCAGTTTTATTTTTCTTCTTCCTCTTTTCTTTACTGTGTCCACCTTACCTTCCAGCTCTGTCCTCAGCAGCCAGGCTCTTCTCAAGACACATTCCAGCCATTTTCCTTTTCTTCCTGATTTTCTTTAATGTTCTATGGAACCAAAAATCTGCTTTGCATAATCTAATAATGTAAGACTTGACTGTGTGTAGATTTTATCTTCCTTATATTTTGTTTGTCATCCCTTTCTTCCTTCCATGGAATCAAACTTTACTGGACATATTTAGTTTAATTGGAATATAGAAATATTCTAATGTAAATAATTTTATAAATACTCTCTAATGTAACATTTATAAAGGTCATCTTTGTTGATGTTTCCTTAATTCCAGAATCTCTTAGAATTTTGAAATGTAACAATTCTCAAAAATTGAAGATGTCAAGGATCTGCTTTCTTGTTTAAATATTGTGATTTAATCTAACTATAACAAATATAGATGAGAGAAAGTATTAAAATTTGAGTAAAAGTATTATGTAAAATCTTTAAGATAAATGTTTGATTAATTTAAAAGTAATACATAAATTTTGAATTTTTCTAGATTGCTCGTATGCTTTTGTTAATGATGTCTTTGGAAAAAAATGGCTTTCAGATTATTAGTTTTGCTTCTCTATATTAGGCAAGCAAAAATCTTGTCTATTTTTTGTTAAGAGAAATCAGGTATTTTGTATAGTTCTGTGTTTTATTGATTGTTATTAAAATAAGATTGAATTTTAATATTTTAATAATTTTGATAGATATCTGCATTTGTGTGCATTTAACAAATGGCCGAAAAACGAGGCCTGAAAGGGTTGGAAGAATGGTGTCGGAGAATCACGGAAGGATATGACGATGTCCATATTAAAGATATGTCGCATTCGTGGAGAGACGGCTTAGCATTCTGTGCTATTATTCACCATTTTGTACCTGATTTAATGTAAGCAATAACTTGAATTTTGTTTTGTATTTGGCATTTCTGCCCTAAAAACAAAAGAAATCTGCAATGTTTTGGAGCAGAAATGTTTTATCATATACTGTCTTTAGAATTAAATAATTTAAGTATTAGTTAAATAATATCAAATTATTTAATTATATTATATTCGTGTTCTGTCGTCTTAATTGTGAATTTATTACGTCCAACTTGAAGTTTAAAAGATAAATTAAACTTTTAATAAACAGCTTAATTATAACATTTTTTCTGTAAATTATTCTATTTTTACATTAAATAGCTCTAGATAATAAACAGCTATAATTACTCTCATAGTTAAACCAATCATAGAATCCCTTTTATATGGAACGTGTTTAACAACAAATTACAGATCAGTCACATTAATACCTAAACAATAACCAACCAACCTGATTAAAGCCAGATTTTTTGATTAAAGCCAGACAATCTGCCAAATTATTGGGCTATAGTTAGGCTAAGTTAATTAAGCCTAACTATAGCCTGAAAATACGGCAGATTGTCTTATGTTAATATCAGTTTGTGTAGCCCCTAGTGTTGCCAAGCGGCAGTAGCATATGGTTGTGTGTGATTTAGCTCCTACTTTTGTGTTTTACAGCTGCGTTTTCCGGGACTAATCGTAAGCTTTATATTTCCATCTCATTACTGTGTATTTTAACAGTTAACTTGTAAAAATCGACCATTTATTTCGCGTGTAATGGCTGTTTCTCGGCCGAGACCATGTGGCTTCGTTCCGGTCGCGATTGTTAATCAATTGTTTGTTTTAAAAGTTTTGGTTAATGTCAATCGTTAGCAGATACATTAATGTAACTGTAATTACACTAACTTGTACGCTAACTTTTATTTTGGTAGGCTGCTTCTCGCAGAGATACAACGACCCGATCTTTTGTAAATTTCAGGCTCCATACAGGTCAACTATTGTGTTCCGCGGGCCGTGCTTTAGGCAACACGGACATCTCATTTAATGTAACTTATAGAATAAATTTAGGGATTGTGCAATCATTTTCATGAAAACAGACGTTTTAGATTAAAGTGAAACAATAGCCTTTGTCTCCAAACGCCTACCCGGGTTACTCCAATTAACCCTAATCTGGCCGTTTGGTTCGGGATCGGTTCTAACGTTGTGCGGGCTCTTGTGTACGGACTTGAACCGTTCTTGGTTCTTCTGTTATCCTTAGGTTACGTTATTCCGTGCTGTTTAGGTGGACACACGGGCTGTTTTTACTGTGATCGGTGTTTTGGTTGTTTATTGTGTACTATTGTGCCGTTTTTCATCACCTCGTTCATTCCGATGATGGATTTACCAGAAAAAGACTTACTTGAAGTCATATCACAAGGACTACTTACAATAATGGAAGCCATTCCAGCAAACTCTCACGGATCTGTCTCAATACATAATCGTAAAAATGCTCGCCAGGCTGCTATGAATATGCACGCTGCTGCAAACAACTTGCTTGGTATGGTGCTGGCCCTGAGGGCCCAGGAGAAACTCCTGCTGGTAACTCCTACGCTGAGGTGGCTCGGCGGGGTATTACTAGTGGTAGCCAGGCTACAAAAATCATCAACGAAACTATTAATAAAGAAGAAAAGACCAATGAACAATGGGAGCTTATAATAGAACCAGTTGAGACAGCCAATGGAGAACGAATGTGTCCAGAAGAGGTTCTAAATGCCATTCAGGAAAATTTGGACCCCTCTACTCTAAACGTAGGAGTTAGAGGCATATCCTCTATGGCAAATGGCAGCGTTAAAATCAAGGTTAGCAGTGAAAAAGATTACAAAAGCCTAAAAGATGCAATAGAAACATTACCGAGGTCAATGAAAAGGTGAGGATCCTCAAACAGAAAAGGAGGAACCCCAAATTGATTTTGTTAAATGTACCCAAAGAAGAAGACCGACGAGAACTGCTACATAAGCTGTACAAGCAGAATGAAGAGATAAGTGCCAAATTCACTAAAGAAGCTTTCTTTCACGAAACGGAGGTATCCCAAGCCAGGAATTCTAAGACAAAAGATAATTGTAGACACGTCGTCATCACGGTAACACCAGCAGTCAGAAATCTTCTAATAAACATGAAACGTGTGTGCTACGATTGGGGAACCTTGATTGTGGATGATTTTATACCAGTACTAAGGTGTTTCTGCTGCACAGGATTCGGCCATATGGCGCGTAATTGTGATACGAAAGAGAGGTGCAGTCATTGCACCAAAAAACACAAATATAAAGAGTGCCCACACAGAAAAGAAGAGCCGAAGTGCATAAACTGCACAAAGGTAAATAAAAAACAACAGGAAGGGAAGAAATATTGTACTAATCATAACGCATTCTCAGCTACCTGTCCCATATTAAAGGGTTACAAGAAACTCCTAGTGAGACAAACGACTTATGAATAATCTATGACTGCTCTGTACAACTTGCTGCTAAACTCCTGCATTAATCATGGCTAATACAAACCTAAAGATTCTCCAAATTAATACCCAGAAGAGCCAGGCCGCCTCTTCCATGGTCATTAAAACGGCCGACGACTTAGATGTAGATGTAATTCTTATCCAGGAACCATATACTATCCAGGACTGCATTGTCAGGTTTGGACCCTGACAAATCCTTAATAAATACTATGTCAATCAAAGACCTAAGTGTGGGATTGTAATAAGGAACAGTAACATGGATGTGTCAATGGTTCAGGAATTGAGCTCAAACAGACTGACGACAATGGCAATCAACCAAGGCCCCATTGATTATCTAATCAGTGTCTATTTCTCCCCCTATGACGCTGATGAGGAGTGTATAGAGGAACTTGGCAGTATCATGAACACACTAAGGGACTATAAATATATTGTGGCAGGGGACTTTAATGCCAAATCCCCTGTCTGGTTCCACGAGGACGAAGACAATAGAGGCAGGCTCCTCGTGGACCTGATGCATGAACATGACTGTATCTCTCTTAACACATCTGACATACCAACTTTCTTCACGACAAGGGCCAGAGGCTGGACAGACGTATGTCTGGCACCTATGACTGTTGGCAGCATTATAGAGAACTGTAAAACACTATTAACAACCTCAGCTAGTGATCATAGATATATTCTCACCATCAGTAAAGCGCAACATCACAATACTATCAGTGACAATAGTAACAAATTCAGCAAGAGGGTCACTAACTGGGATAGTTATAGACTACACTTTGCAGAGAACTGGCGCACTTATCTTCACAAAGATATGAGAAATAAAGAAGACATTGACAAATATGTTGACTACATCATGGACTCAATGGCAAAGGCCTTACAACTTTCCACCTCTAACAGAGTGAGGAACCAGTATCACACTCACTGGTGGACTGATGAACTAGAAGGGGAAAAGCACAAAATTAGGAAACTGAGGAGATCAAAGGAAAAGCATACTTTACTGAGAAGAACTCCACAAATATAAGAAATTAATTAATTATTCTAGAACCAAAGCATGGAGAAAATTCTGCAGCAGTGCAAGGGATCCTTGGTCTCAACCTTACCGCACAGTATACAAGGGCAGTAAGAAGGCTACCATTCCCCGCATAATTGACAAAGACAAAACTACAGGCAAATACGACATAAATACCAGCATCAAAAAGCTCCTAGACTTCCACTTCCCTGCCGACAAACAAGAGGAAGATCAAGACATTCACAAATGTACGAGGAGAAAAATAACCACTTACACTGGCAACTCAATGGATAGATGGTTCTCCTTCCGAGAGGTGGAAAGAGCAATAGATTCCCTGGGCAATAAGAAATCTCCTGGAATCGATGGCACAACTGCAGAGATGCTTAAACAAGCTTTCCAAGAGGTTCCCATAGCCTTCGTTATTCTCTATACTATAATGCCTGTCTCAATAATGCTTATTTCCCCAACCAATGGAAAATAGCAAATGTAAAGTTCATCCCCAAGACTCCCAACCCTTCGATTGTGCATGATTACCGTCCTATAAGCCTTCTCCCTGTGCTCGGCAAAGCCCTTGATGGTATGATCATTGGGAGGCTGAACTAGCACTTGAGTAAGACCAACAACATGCATGAAAACCAATTTGGTTTCAGAAAAGGCAAGTCCACAGTAAAGGCCATACAAAATGTTAAAAGCTTTATCAAGGAAGCATGGGAGCAAGACAATCATGCCCTTGTTGTCAGTGTGGATTTTCGTAAGGCATTCGACCATCTTTGGTGGCCGACTGTCATGGACAGGTTACAGAGAGTAGACTGCCCGACCAATATCATCGAGTTAATGAGCAGCTACTTGAAGTGATAGGAAAGTAGGGTTTTTCACCGATACCATCCAAATAATCAAAGACATAAATAGAGGTTGTCCGCAGGGTTCCCGCTGTGGACCAGGGATATGGAACCTCGTCTACGACACCTTATTAAGCATTATCCCCAAGGAAGAAAATAACATGAAAATACAGGGCTTTGCCGATGATACGCTTCTACTCATAAGGCACCGGAATCGTGACATCCTACAACTCAAAGCAAACGAGATCTTACAAAAGATTCTTACCTGGAGTAAGACCAATAAATTACCCATCAACTATGATAAATGCGAGGCACTGGTCTGCACCAGAAAAGCTAATAGAAAGCAGCTACAGCGACCCTTAGGGCTGTACATTGACAATCATAAGATCAAAATCACATCGCATCTAAAATACCTTGGTGTATACATCGATCCAACACTGAGTTGGAAGTTCCATATCGAGGAACTTTGTAAAAAGATACACAAACGTGTCAACACCATCCATCATATAGCCCGTAACACTTGGGGGATTGGCAGTAGGAACACCAATCTCATTTATAAAGGTGCTATTGAGCCAGCACTGCTATATGCAGCACAGATTTGGGGGGAGAAGGCAAGGCTGGTGCACAATAGAAGAAAATTACTTTCTATTCAAAGGGGTATGGCATTAAGGATATGCAGTGCCTACCGCACTGCACCCACGGATGCACTGCTAACAATTGCCAATGTAACACCAATTCACCTGAAGATCAAAAAGCTAGTGTGGACCTGGCAAATAAATAATACTAATTTTGGCTTAAACTCTGACCAAGAGACACAAGATACCACCTGTAAAGAAATCTATCCATTGAACAGTCAGATCTTATACAAAAAATAAAGCAATTTAAACTTGATAACTATCTCACAGGTATGGGCGCCCACCATCACCCGGCTGACACTGGCAAGCTAAACATCAACTACAGTAACAGAGGAACTGATAAGGGAGACTGGAACATCTTTACTGACGGCTCAAAAAGTAGCATCGGCACCGGAGCAGCATTCATTATTTATAACAGCAACTTAACGTACATCAAGCATCAAGAATACTTTAGACTCCATCCACACTGCTCGATCAACCAAGCGGAGCTCTGGGCTATGCTCAGAGCTCTCGTGCATGTCACTGCAAACCAGAAAAAATACAACGGAAGTATAAGTATTAACACAGATAGTAAATACGTTCTAAATATACTCAATTATAAAGGCAAAATCACTTTCAATGGAGCCAGAATGAACCATCTTGCCCAGAACCTTAACAAACGCAGGAACATCACCTTTTACTGGGTCCCTGGCCACACTGGAATCAGGGGCAACGAGGAAGCAGATAAGCTGGCAAAAAGGGCAGCCACCCTCAACACTAACTATGCTTTCAGTAGAATACCTCCTACCTATGTTAATAAATACATCAGTGAGAGGATACTTGATAACTGGCAGGAGGAGTGGGAATCCTCCAACACGGGAAGAACTACTTACAAGTTTCTCCCTTCCATCCACAAACGTCAACAATATAATTACATCATCCCCACCTACGAGCTTACACAGACCCTCACAGGGCATGGCAACATACCAAGCTATCTCCACAGATTCAAGAAGCGTAACAACAACAACTGCGAGTGCGACAATGACTCAACTGGTGACTTATTCCACATTCTGTGGGACTGCCCCACCCATGATAGAGTACGGCAGCCTCTGTACCAACACTGTGCCTTGCATGGTCAAAACTGGCCACCTAGACCAGACTTTCTGTGTGAATCTAAAGAAACGTTTAAGATGTTCCACAACTTCATACTGAAATGTAAGGTTTTCAACACTCGGCAATGCAACACGACAACATAATGGACGTTCTTCCAGCCCTAAGTGCAAGACCCCAACAGGACTTATCAACCATCATTAAGCCAAAATGGCACTCAGTGTTAACGAATGTTTAACCATTGTTTACTTGATCATCGGCCAGAATGCCACTCTGTTGTATATATTTTGTATTTTTGTATTCTAATTGTTAAAATAAGGCAATTCAAGTCATCAGCGGTATCCTAACTCCTCTTATCCTTCCTACCACTACCATCCTCACTTCCATTCCCACTCTTCATATCCTCCCCAACCCTTGCCTTCCTTTTCCACCCTTCCTTTTGGGCTAAGTCTAAGGACAGCCATCTATCTGTTATAAAAATAAAAAAAAATATCAGTTTGTGTAACATAAATAATTAATAATTATAATAATCAGCAGTTAAATTTTCATATGGTTTCCTTTTAAGTGATTTCTAATTTATTTTATTAATTAATTTAATCTGACATTTATTTCACATCAATATAAAATAACTAGTTATTTATCTTTGTTTTAGTAATTGACTTATTCAATTTTCTTAAATAAACACTAATAATCATTTAAAATAGTTGAAATCATTAAATATATTTAAGTTGAAACTTCAAAATACAGTATTAATTACATGTTTTTTACAATAATTTTGACTTAAAAATCTTAATGTTTTAGTTGGTAATTAAAATATTAATTTAGAAATAAAAAAGAATATTTTGTCTCTCTTTTTGATTTATAATATATAATCTATCATTTTTATAATTGTAATTACAAGTGTGTAAAAAGTTATTTTTATATATTTTCAGAGATTTTAATTCACTCTCTAAAGAAAATATTCTTCACAACAATTCACTGGTATGTACTATTTTGATTACTTCAACATAAGAAATTTAAAGTTTATAATAATTTGTTAAATGTAATAGTAGTTTAAACCAAAAAAAGTAACAGTATTCCATACTGTTTAAAATCTTTTTATTTTGTATATTTCTATCTTTATTGATGATAATTCTACAACAATTATAAAACCAAGATGGAAAAAATACAGGCTTTCTCCTAAAGATTTTGATTAATAATAATTTATAACAAAAATTGATGTTTATAATTTAACATATAAAAATTTGTATAAATAAAATGTTTTGGAGTTTAAAGAAAAATTCCAAAACATCCAAATGCAGAATAAAACATTTGACTGTTTTGTTTTTTTACATTTGAACTGTTTTCTATTTTGATCTGAAAATGCTTTAAGCAATAAGAATTAAAATACTCATAAATTTTCTTGATTTCTTTTAAATAATTTTAAGGAAAATATCAATAAATTTGTGAATTTCATTATTGACTTCTAGTATAAATAGAATGATTTATACTAGAAATTTTATAAATAAACTATTATTACTAATTCAGAAAAATAATAACATTTTTTTTTTCTATTTTTTCTTGAAATTTTATATTTATTTTTGTAAAATAAGATTGATTTCAGAAAATTTTTCGTATTATACAGGCATTTGGCATTGCAGAAAAACAGTTGGGTATACCTGCATTACTAGATGCTGAAGACATGGTTAATTGTATTGAACCCGACAGACTGAGCATAGCTACGTATCTTTCACAGTTATATCAATATTTTGAAGGTGGAGGCAATAAAAGATGTAAGTTGATTATCTTAATTAATAATTTATTTTAATTTTTATTATGATAATTGTCTTGTGCATACAATATAGGTTTTTACCTCCACGCGTGAATGAGGAATTTGTGTAATTTGTTATTTTAAATGAAAATTTGTCATGGACTCTATTCCTAAATTAGTATTATTTTTTCCCCTAAAAACTTATTGTTTCATATTATATTTCAAATATCATTGTTTATATAACTATATAACTTAATTTTATGATAAAATTATAGCTGCCACCAAACAAATAATTTTAATTAATAGCTAATTGAATGTTTTAATGACACATATCAGAAATAAATAAATATAATGGCAAAAACTTTGTATAAAAGAAATAAAAGTTAGATACTGTTGTAGGAAGTCTTTCAAAATTCTCCAATAAATTAAATAACACATTTTTATACATATTTTTTTTTTCTATATATTTGTTGTGATTCAAATATAGTCAAACCTGGTTTTCAAACAACTCGCCTTTTGAACAAATTGGTTCAAAAACAGAATTTCAAACTCATAATTGCACCAGTAGCAACAAGTAGCTTGCCAAAGCTACTTGGCAAGAGCTGGCCACAGATCAGAGACAGATGGTCAACTCCGTATATTTCCTATGTTAATCCATTGTTATGGGAAAATTGTTTCAATTTAGGAACAAATTATGTTCAAAAACCGAGGTTTGACTGTAATAGTGAAATATGTTGGCAAATTATTTTAACTGCTATATAAAATTACCTTCTTCTCAATACTGGAACAAATCACAAACACTTTTAAAGTCCAGTAACAAAAGTTTTTAACATAAAAACTTTTGAAAAACATTTTCGATGTTGACCAAGGTCTGCACATTCCAATTTGGAATTTCATTAATTTAAAGATCTGAGGCAGACCTTGGTCAAGATTGAAAATGTTTATCCAAAGCTTTATACATTAAAAATTTTTGTTACTATACTTTAAAAGTTATCAAAGTATCATATGGATTTTTATCATCTAGTTTATAATACTAAAACCATTTCAGTTTTTATTTTCTAAGTATCTCATTATTTAAATAAATAAATAAAATACATTATAACATTTCTATATACAGAAAATATTTGTAAATTTAATTGTTAATTATTACAGTTCAGTTTTTTCAAATCTAAATGTAAAAAAGAAATTATATATTTTTAAGTTATTTCTATTTATTGAAGTTAATGATATGGTTCTGCTTAGAAATAAATAAATAAATATATTTTTGTTGTGCAAAATATATATATAGATATTCTGCACAACATAAGGATGAAAATATTTTAAAATATATATCTAGGTAACTATCTAAAAGCAGCAGTCCATATACAATGTAGAAAATGAGGTCAATGGAAGTTGAAGATTGTCCCGTTCTTTCTTCTTG